ATATATATATATATATATATATATATATATATATATATATATTATATATTATATATATATATATATATATACATACATATATATGTATATATATATATATATATATATATATATATATATATATATATATATATCTATATATATATATATATATATATATATATATGTATGTATATATATATGTATATATACTCACATATATAATGTATATGAGTGTATGCATATGTATATGTATCTATCCTATATATGTACATCACATTCACACACACACACACACATGCACGTGCCATCTCACACTGTCTGTTTGTTTCTGTTTGTCTGTCTTTCTCTCCCTCCCTCTCTCATTGACCCCTTTATTTATGCTTATCATACAAATATGTATAGGTTGAAACCAGTGTATTTACAACAAACAGGTTTTCTTTCGCGTGTCAAAAGTTAATTAGCTAAAGGAGCTTATTTGAAAAATAAACCTGTTTTCCTTTATAAACAATACACATGTTAATTCACTGAAAAAAAAAACATAACAAAATGGAATCAATCCGTAATAAGGATATAAACAGTGTTGCCTTATGTGTTGCCATGTATATAGGAGATTCAGAGGTGCTGGATTTCTCGGCCGCCATCGGAGTGCCGCTGTCTTTACTAGCTTGATCGTTTCGGCGACATCGGTGGTGGATGTCAATTCATTGCACAGTCGTGTTGCTCTGGCTGAGGAGGTCCGCTGGTGCTGGCTAGACCTCGACCTCGGAACTTCCACCAGAAGCCGATTGGAGTGTGCCGTCCTCGCACTTCTCTCTCGAAGTTGCGGTGGGAGACGATGGCTGGAGAGATGAGGCACATGAGCCTTGTGGAGCACCGTCAACCCTTCCTCCGACTTCGCGACCTTCTTCCAGCGAGTCGATTTGACAAGGGTTGTTGGTTTCCTGGATAAACCCTTGAACCCGTTTTTTTCTTCTATTTTATCCAGCGTGTTGAGTCTGGTGGGCGTAGTAGAAGAATATGCAAACGAGACATATTCTGGATGTGGTCTGATCTGGGATTTGTACAGTGTGAGAATTCGTACCTTGCGTGTAACTATGAATTCATATTACCACAGCGTCATGATCCTTACGCTGGTATGAAAGATAAAATAGAAAGGGCACAGTCATACACTGAATTTCAGGATGGTTCCCCTCTCTCTCTCTCTCTCTGCTCCCCTCCCTTTTTCTCGTATTCGCTTTCTCTTTCTCTTATTCTCTCTCTTTCTCTTTCTTTCTCACTCTCTCTTTCTGTTTCTCTCTCTTTCTGTCTGTCTCTCTCTCTGTCTCTCTCTCTCTCTCTCTCTCTCTCTCTCTCTCTCTCTCTCTCTCTCTCTCTCTCTCTCTCTCTCTCTCTCTCTCTCTCTCTCTCGTTCTATGTCACTCTCACTCTCGTCCTACCTCTGCCAGTCTCTCTCTCTCTGTCTGTCTGTCTCTCTCTTTGTATCTTTTTCTCTCTGTCTCTCTTTCTCTCTCTCTTTTCCTTCCCCTCCCTCTCTTCCATCTCTATCTCCTCCCTCTCTCTCTCTCTACCTCTCTTTCTGTCTACCTCACTCTCTCTGTTTGTGCGTCTGCCCCCTCTCTTTCTCTCTGTCTCTCTGCTTTTGTGTGTGTCTGCGCCCCTCTCTCCCCCTGTCTCTCTCTATCTTCTCTATCCTCAATCTCTTCTGCCTCTGTCTCTCTCTCTCTCTCTCTCTCTCTCTCTCTCTCTCTCTCTCTCTCTCTCTCTCTCTCTCTCTCTCTCTCTCTCTCTCTCTCTCTCTCTCTCTCTCTCTCTCTCTCTTCCCTCCCTCCCCCCCTCTCTCTCTATTTATCTTTCTCTCACTATCTCTCCCTGTCTGTCTGTCTTTCTCTCTTCCTCATTTGTCTCTCGACCTATCTGTCTCCCCCCCCCCCCTCCCTCCGAGCTGCATTTACCATAGGCCGTTGCGACCGAGAGAAAATGGATGATAACATAACATCCATGAAATAATTAGCGATTACAGCTTATGAGAAAAATAATGATAATCATAATTGGATAAAAGTTTTGGTGATAAATACTTTACATAATTAAAGTTTGACAAATGAGAAGGAAGAGATTGATATGGGGGAGCGTTATTTCTAAAACTGCTTACGTAAATTAATAAGAGATACATGCTTCACAAAGCAAGAGACAATTGATGAATTATAATAAAATTTTCATGTAATTAACGTGTCAGTTACCTTGCCTTGTGAAAGTGTTGCCATCAAGAGGCGCGCGGTCGTAGTAAGTACCACGCCCCTGGAACAATATGTAATTATGTTTAAATTGCGTTATTTTTTCTTTAACTCTAAAAATAAAATCAAAATCTGATTTTCGATGCTATTAAGAAAAACAACAAAGCTTTGTAAAAAACAGTCCGTTTACAGTAAGGCGATCGACGTCGTAGAAAATCAATGCAATTGACGAAACGCGGGAACTCGAAAAGTATCGATCGTACAATATTATATGGAAATAATAATAAATAAGTTAATAACTAATATGTATAAAGAATATATATATCTATATATGTTTAAATAATTATGTCTACCAAACAAAATTTTATAGTTATGGATTTTGTGTATTATATATAGCGCAACTGATGACTGCGGATGTACTAATTGTTTCGTATCAGCATTTTATTTACTTAATTTTTCCAAATTATGTTACGTATTTATCATAAAGAATTTTATGAAAGCAGTATTATCGTGATTTTTTTATTACATGAGCTGTAATCAGACTGAATTTAATGAATCCTTAATTATCATTTGATTAGCTACGCTACTGGTTATGTTATCTATCTATATTTTTTTTTCAAGAGTTTCGTCCTCTGACAGACCTTAGTGAAAAGGATTGTGCATGTGATGAAAAAAACATCTCTTTTCTGTCAGACTACGGTGATTTCCCCAAAACGATTATTATCCCTGCATCATGATGTTTTGTTATGCACATACACACACACACACACACACACACACACGCACGCACGCACGCACGCACACACACACACACACACACACACACACACACACACACACACACACACACACACACACAGTACGCTCACACTCACGCTCATTCTACTTTACACTCCCACCACACTACTGCTTTTACATTGTCACTCATACGTCGTTGATAAGAGGTAATATCTATATCTTAAATCGACTCACATCAATAGATTTTTATAACGTCAACATAGAGTTTTATGGGTAGAAAAAATATGATAGAAATTATGATGTGAAAATTACACGAAAGAGAGAGAGAGAGAGAGAGAGAGAGAGAGAGAGAGAGAGAGAGAGAGAGAGAGAGAGAGAGAGAGAGAGAGAGAGAGAGAGAGAGAAGAGAGAGAAGAGAGAGAGAGAGAGAGAGAGAGAGAGGAGAGAGAGAGAGAGAGAGAGAGAGAGAGAGAGAGAGAGAGAGAGGAGAGAGAGATCTGAATAAAAAAAAACATTGTATCATCATATTCCTATGAAGAATGATAAAAAAAATATTGCTGATAACAATAACTATGATGAAAATATTGACAACGATAATGATAGACTTAAAATAGGATATTCACAGATTCGAGCGCGTCATTCTCATTTTTTTGTCAATTATCACCGAATTTTACGCCAAAATGAATTGACTTCAAGTCTGCAGTCACATGGAATATAATTTCAAGAGGGCTATAATGTTTCTTAAATAAGAAATTAATGGTTCGTGTCGTAAAATGTAATTGCTACTGTAAAGTACGAAAGATTTAAGGAAGCGTAAGTGGAATTATAAGACAGATGCCGTTATTTAGTAATCACTGCAATGATAATCATAGTTCACGATAACGTCATTAGCAATGAAAATATGCTATAGTATATATGACAATTTACCTCCAAATGCTTACACGTCCCTTGCAGCAGATATAGATGAGGTGGTTAACTCTAGAATCTACATATTGTTTAGTATGATACCCAGGAACAGGGGTGGGCAATTAATTTTTACAAGGGGCCACATGAGAAACCTGAATTGTGTCAGAGGGCCACACCAACGATAACTTGAACTTAATTCTGCTCAGATCTGCCCAGGAAGAACGCTAAGTCTATGTATTTGGGACGTGGATCGAGGTTACTGAACGTTTATCTGATGTATATGTATATAAGGACAAGACTTGGGGAGAGCAACCGTATCAGGTTACGATGAAACAATAAATAACAATTTCCAAGCCTTCGAACAGCCTTACATTTTATTTAACTCAGTTACAGTGTTATCAAGTGTGCATGGAATACTACATGGTAAGACAGCAAGTGTGACATTCTAATATCTATGAGTTCCTTTCGCTAATAGGCATGTAACCACTCGAACCCGTGTTGTATCTGTAAGGTTAAAACTAGCACTTTCTTCTCGTCATGTGTAATTTTTTTTTCTTCTTAATTTATTTACATGTTTTCATTGTTGTTATTGGTAATATTTTGTTAAAGTAATTATTCACTTTATGATGTTTGTTATTTGTAGGTGAGTGGGTGTCAAAATGAGTCATGTAGAATACAGTCAAGCATTCCTGATTTATTTTAAGTATCATTTGTTAAACTTGCAATCGTATGGAAGTTAAAGCCTGTTAAAACTACCTTTGTAATATCACCCATCCTTTCAAGGAGACAATACTTTAACTCGACTTTAGTTCGGATAAGGCGGGGATAAGGCTTCAGCGGGCCTAAGGTTGTAGACTCTCTAGAGTATCCGTTCGTGTACGCGGTTAACCTGAATTTCCAAAAAGTCTTGCCCATTAACTTTGGTTAAATGGTAATGCTTACGGTGCAGACATCGATTAGTTAACGTGGACTGTAGTTTTACGTTCTTTTGCTTGTGCTTTTACCTTTGTTTGTTTGTTTGTACGTATGTTTTACCTACGACAAATATCAAGAACTATTTTGGGTTTCAGCAGCAGGAACGCAGTAAAAAGCCTTATAACGAAATCGAAACCGTAATTGGTTACAGATAAGGTATAGCAGATAGCGACTTGGTATAAAAGGAGGTGATGTACGTAGTAAACAAGTAGCCGCCGCCGTGGAAGCCTCGAAGCAATTCCTTCTGCTTTTAGTCTCTGCAAATCGACTTCGAGCTCTCTGACCGCCAACATGTTCAAAGCAAGGTATGGTGGTGATAATAATAATTTGATGTATTTCAGCAAGTTTCATATTTCGACAAATTAAGTTATAATGTAATGCATGCGAGGAACCACAGGATAAGAGCGACGTCTCGATCGTTAGTTTAGAGTATTTCAGAGTTTAAGTAATTAGGATTAAAGAGAGAGAAATTGTTGCTACCAACAACCACTTTAACACCAGTAATGACCTTGTGTTCAGTCTTTGAAAATATATATGCGTTCAAAATCAGTGCAATTTATCGGAGTGAATATTATATACGGGATTTAGTAGAATGCCCATCAAGTTTATTCGGAGGAATATGTAGTTAACAATGTAACTGTTGTTTAATTGCAACATATCATAAATTGCAATTTCACATGGACACTGGCATACCATAGCAAATCCACAACACACATATAGATGAAAATGTAAATATAATTTCTTACATCTTGTGTCCAGGTTGTTAGCCATTCAATAACATGTTCATTCACGCTTATATTTTTTAGTCCGTTATTCATAAATTCCTTAGTTATTTCATATCTCCCACTTTCTTTGTTTGGTATTGTTTGATTATAAACATTTTCAGTGCAGATGAAAATTAACACATATGATATTGTAATGACTACTTCCTAAGTTTTTTTTTCAGTAAACCGTCGAGACAAAGATATTCAATTAATAGTTAAATAATGTAACTGTAATGGATTAATGTAATTATGTCCTCATCATGTACCGGGCTGATCGTTAATATTTTTAAAGGTAAGCTTATTATCGGAAGAGTTAGAGAAAAACAGGCATTACCTCAAAAAATATATATCGAATATTACAGTATTTGCTATAGAAACTGTATTGTCTTCTTAGAATATAATATGAAAACGATATTACAAATTTAATCTCTCGTGACAATTTTTTTTTTTTTTTTTTTAATTATTATTGAATATCTATCTTATTTTCTTCCTTCCTTAGCACCAAGTATCTCACTATGAAAAGTTTAGTAAAGCTTTTAGAGAACGAAAATCACACAAGGAGGATTTTGTCTTCGCCATTGCACAATTTACGAAAGAAGTGTCCTGTGCGGCTTATCGCGGGAAATTTAAAACGAGTGAAGGATGGCGGGTGTTTCAGTTCCACAACAACGACTAATATCTCTTTAAAAATGATTCTCAACTGTAATTTCTGTTTTCAGTGAACTGGGAAATTTCTGTGGTGGTTTTATTACTATTATTTTTTTCAGTGACTAATATTTGTTTTTTATGCTTATATTCTAGTGTCTATATGTTAACTCATTAATTGCTTTTCCTTTTTTAACGCAAAATATAGATATATCTGAATGACAAATTTTGATATATTTCATCTTCAAATCTCACTTTTCTCTCTTGCACCCCCCCCTCTCTCTCTCTCACTCTCCTCTTTCTCTTCTTCCCCTTATCTCTCTCTGCCATCTCTATCTCTCCGTGTCCCCTATATGTTACCTCTCTCTCCCTCCCCCCTCCCCCCCTCTCTCTCTCTCTCTCTCTCTCTCTCTCTCTCTCTCTCTCTCTCTCTCTCTCTCTCTCTCTCTCTCTCTCTCTCTCTCTCTCTCTCTCTCGCATCACCTCGCTCACTTTCTCTCTGTCCCCTCCCCCCATCCCCCCCTCCCTCCCCTTTCTCACCCTTAGTCCTGAAAAGGAAACCCAGTATGATTTCGAAAACTAATGTGTCTCCGTTCAACAAACCAATTTCGCGCAGAACATTTTTTGTTTCACTCAATTTATATTCTCGAAACTCATTCCAGGACGGCCATTTCCCTCGTACTGATCGTGAGTGTCGTACTAGCTTCTGGCCTGGACTACTGGCCGAGTTATGTCTTGGGAAAGAGTGATCTGAGTCGTCTTAGGGCTGAACAAAACGATTTGGAAAGCGAGGTAAAGACCAAAGATGTTTTTTTTTCTATATTTGAATATCATCAGAGAAGATAAACATTGAGAAAATTGTCTCTGTTCTTTTATATTAGTTAATCTGAATTCAGAATGACGCTTTGGGGGGTTGGGGGATGAAAGGGCTTAGAGAGAAATTAGGAGAGAAAAACAAACATCAGACAAAGAAACGAAAAAAAAAACCCTCAAATATACATGTTTTTCCCCTCTCTTATTACCAGATGTTTTGGAGACAGTACAAACGAATCTTGGGCAACACTAAAGGTAAGTTGTGAAGGAGTCTCTTTCCTCCCCTCCCCCCCCCCCACTCTCTCTCTCTATCTGTGTATATCTCTCTCATTCTCTAATATTCGCTCTCTCTCTCTCTCATTCTCTAATATTCGCTCTCTCTCTCTCATTCTCTAATATTCGCTCTCTCTCTCTCTCTCTCTCTCTCTCTCTCTCTCTCTCTCTCTCTCTCTCT